TGTAATACGTCACAAATTAGCATTTCTAAAATGTTAGCGTGGATTAATAAAAGTGCAAAAAGACAGCGGTTGTCGCCGGAAGAAACTTCAAATACAGAGAATGCTGTGCCTGTGTTGGAAATTGTGTCTGATGGGGAGCTTTCTTTGGTTGATCCTCCTGCTCCAAGTTCTAGTGCATTAGCATTAGCACTATAGCTCCGCCGCCTCCTCCAGAGCCTCTAACGTTAGCTGCTGCTGGCTCAACTGCCACCACCAACACCGGGCAAAGCGATGCACCTGACTGCTGGACAACGGACCAGGTGCAATATTTTTGCAAGACCAATGCATGGCTCCTTCTTAAAGATAAGAAGCTAGGATGTCGGATATGCAGAGATGTCAAATCTTTGGGAATACACACTGGACAAGGACTGAAACTGTCAACTGAATGGGGTGAGTGTGCAGTGTCTCATTTCGGTGTTGACAAGGGCAAACAACAAGCTAGCCTGAGAAAAAAAATCAAAGAACATAAAGAATCACAAGCCCATGTAAAAGCTGCTGACATCCTTACATCTGCTTCACGTGAAACTATTCAACATCAAGTGCAGTCTATGCATAAATCTGAATTAGACACCACTATCAGAGTTTTTCGAACGGCATATAAAATTGGCAAACATAGCCGGCCATTCACAGACATGCCAATTGATTTGAATGTACAGAAACTGAATGGGCTGAACGTGGGCAGGGTTTTGCACTCCAATAAAACCTGTGGCGAAATCATCGACCACATAGCTCATGAGCTGAAGAAAAAAATGGCAAAAGACATTACAGAAAACCAAAGAAAACTCTGTGTTTTGGTCGATGAATCTACCACTATTAGTGGTAAAACGGTGCTTGTTGTGTGTCTACACTCAGCATTAGCTGATGCTGAGCCCGAAACGTTTTTTTGGGAGCTGATCGAGTTGGATGGAACAACGGCTGATGACATCACAAAGGCGTTAATGGAGTGTCTTGGAAGAGATTTTAACGAGGACTTTTTAGGTCAGTGTTTCGTTTCTTTTGCATGTGATGGGGCTTCAGTCATGCTAGGGAAGAGAACAGGCGTTGCTACCCAGTTGTGTAGTAAATTCCCAAGCCTGTTTGTGTGGCACTGCTCCAATCATCGTCTAGAGCTGGCAGTTGGGGATGTGGTCAAGGAGGTCTCAGGGCTCAATCATTTCCAGATCTTTTTTGACAAACTCTATTCCTTGTTCCATGCCTCCCCCAAAAATCAGAGGCAGTTAGCGCAGTGTGCGCAAGCAGTCGGACAGCGTCTCCTGGTGATAGGGCGTGTTTTGTCCATCCGCTGGGTGGCTTCAAGTGAAAGGAGCGTCAGAGCAGTCTGGGAAAACTACCGAGTGCTTCATGATCACTTCACAAATGCTGCAAACGACACGAGCAGGGATTCCAGAGACAGAGCAAAGTACAAGGGCCTGGATGATGTGCTCACATCTGCAACGTTTGTCAGCAATCTGGGACTGATGTACGATGCGCTCACAGAGCTCAGCGATCTCTCTCGGCAACTCCAAAAAAGAGAGATGACACTGCCTACAGCAGATAGGCTCTTAACTCGAGAAATACGAGTTTTTGAATCCATGGTCACCATGCCTGGCCCACACATGACTACAGTTCATACAGCTCTAGCTGAGAAGTCCTTCAAGGGTGTTGCCCTGCGTGAGAATGGCAGGCTTGTACAGATTCATGCAGGTCAGTTTTTCCGCAGTATGGTAGAGAATCTGAGACACAGAATGACTTCCACAACCTCCTCTCATGTCAGCACAAGAGAAATCCCATTACATGGCCGGGAGGCCCGGGACAATCAGCTAATCCAAGACATGAAAGTTATCCATCCTGGAAGTTGGCCTGAAGAGGAGTTAGACGTACAGTATGGGGACGTAGAGGTGCTACGTTTGTGCGAAGTGCTGAAAGTGGACAGAAGAGAGACTGTTCAGGGCTTTCGCGAATACAAGGAAACCAGGGCATCCCGTACACCTGCTGCCATGGAGCCTCTACTGAAAGCAGTCCGAACCATCGCTGTCTCCACTAGTGAGTGTGAGCGGGCATTCAGCTGCATGAACGATATCCTTACTGCAAAAAGGAATGCTCTCTCTGTCAGCCGACTGTCCAGCCTGGTTTTCATTAAATGTAATGGACCATCACTAGGACAGTTCAATCCGGAACAGTATGTGAGGTCCTGGCTGGCAAAGGGAAGGAGAAGTGCTGATGAAAGAGCCTGTCCAGCTCCAGCCCCTGATACTGATGTCCCCAAGGCCTTCTGGAGCCTTTTCTAACAATGTGAAGTATATTGCAAAGCAGCTCACCCAGTGAGAAGACTTTTGGCATAATGTGCCGATTTGTACAGATCCTGGAGATAGAAGGACTTCAGACCAACCAGGGAGTTATCTGGTCAGCTTGGTGTTCAATGTAACTCTTTACCATGGCTCAGACTTTGTTACTTGCAGTTACAGTTTCTCATTTTAGATTGTGCAAATTTTGCATTTGTTTTTACATGTTCTTTGTTCATGCTCTTTATCATTTTTCTGAGTTGGAAAGTTAGATTGCATCATAGTTTACTTTATACATATTTGTATTCTTCAGTGGTGAAGTATATTGCAAAGCAGCTCAGCCATGTGAGAAGACTTTTGGCACTTTTTCGTTTTTCGTTTTCTGAGTTGGAAAGTTAGATTGCATTCAAAATGTACAGAAATACTTAATTTTGTTAAAGCTTTTTATAAAAAATGCTTCTGACCAGAGCTTTGTTTCCTTGTCATTAATGTTGAACACCACCAGAGGGGCTCTCACCTGAAAGGTCTCTGCTTCATGTGTCTTCAGCAGAAGATCTAGACTTTGATTGCTATATTTTCAGTTAATATTGACCTTACTGAGCTTTAGCCATATCCGCTGCCTATCATAAAAAATGTTAAGTACAGTGAACCTTTCTAAAATATACAGTAGTAAAGAGACAAACCCACCAGCATTATAGTAGCCAAATTCTTGTTTGTGGGCTGTATATAAAATTGACTTGAAAAAGTTGCTGATTTTAGAGTACTGGCACCTTTTTCATTCCAATTCAAGCACTGATCATAGATAACACGGCAGGGTCCGTTACAGTTTGTTTTTATCTGATTTCAAATAAACAAAGTCTTGGCTTTCAGAATATTAAACTTGTTTTGGCAAATTCAGATGATAAATACAACTTTGAATCTTGTAACGGCATAATTACAAGCGGAGAACGGAGTAACTTTACGTCACTGCAGGCATAACAACAGCCGGTGTTTCACGTGAGTGTTTTCCCCGGGAAACAAACACAATACACACAAACGCACACGGCGCGGAACACTGTACAAATCCCGTTTCAATAATTCCCCTATACTCTAAAGTCGCATCTAAAACGCGATCTGATCGAGCTGTGTATATTTTGTTATTTTTTATTGTTATATATTGTTAGAAATTAAAATCAATGTTGATATGGCGTAATTTGAATTAAATACACTATTTAATTTAAATCAGTTTTATTCTGAAAAACCTGAAGTTCACTAACTATTAACTTAATACGTTTATTCTGAAAATTATTCACTTCCGGTTAGCATTAGCATGTGGCGAAATGCTGCATTTTCAAACCGTGAATCAAAGGTGAAATGACATGTGATGTTGTACACTGAGCACACTGGGTTTAGCACTCATTTATTGCCGCTGAATAACGTTTATTAGGGAATGTTTAAATAACCACAGACACCAGAATGATTGAATTATAACAGAAAAAGGCAGGAATTGCATTGGACCCGCCCCCGACGACGCCGGCCAATATGAGAAGACCTCAGAGGACAACAGGAAGAGCAAGCCAATAATTGATCTCTTCTACCTGCTGACCTGGACTGACCGGTCGGATGAGGAGAGCGCCTCCACTCGCACCTTTCATTTTGTACACCACCGCATCTTTTGTGTAATTAAATGCTGTTAACTTTTATAAGCTTCCCTTGACTCTTTTCAGTCTCTCCTGCCTTCAGGGTTCTAGAATACACTAACAATATTCAATCTCAGTAGCTACAGGCATTTTTTAAGCTTGTAAAGGGAAGACCACAGCTCGCCTCTCACTGGCCACTCTGCTCTTCCGCAGCGCCGCTCCCCCTCCCTCTGGCTGAAATTATGAATGTAAGGTGTATAGTAATTATAGATAACACGGCAGGGTCCGTTACAGTTTGTTTTTATCTGATTTCAAATAAACAAAGTCTTGGCTTTCAGAATATTAAACTTGTTTTGGCAAATTCAGATGATAAATACAACTTTGAATCTTGTAACGGCATAATTACAAGCGGAGAACGGAGTAACTTTACGTCACTGCAGGCATAACAACAGCCGGTGTTTCTCGTGAGTGTTTTCCCCGGGAAACAAACACAATACACACAAACGCAAAAATACACAAACACACACGGCGCGGAACACTGTACAAATCCTGTTTCAATAATTCCCCTATACTTTAAAGTCGCATCTAAAACGCGATCTGATCTAGCTGTGTATATTTTGTTATTTTGTATTGTTATATATTGTTAGAAATTAAAATCAATGTTGATATGGCGTAATTTGAATTAAATACACTATTTAATTTAAATCAGTTTTATTCTGAAAAACCTGAAGTTCACTAACTATTAACTTAATACATTTTATTCTGAAAATTATTCACTTCCGGTTAGCATTAGCATGTGGCGAAATGCTGCATTTTCAAACCGTGAATCAAAGGTGAAATGACATGTGATGTTGTACACTGAGCACACTGGGTTTAGCACTCATTTATTGCCGCTGAATAACGTTTATTAGGGAATGTTTAAATAACCACAGACACCAGAATGATTGAATTATAACAGAAAAAGGCAGGAATTGCATTGGACCCGCCCCCGACGACGCCGGCCAATAGGAGAAGACCTCAGATGACAACAGGAAGAGCAAGCCAATAATTGATCTCTTCTACCTGCTGACCTGGACTGACCGGTCGGATGAGGAGAGCGCCTCCACTCGCACCTCTCATTTTGTACACCACCACATATTTTGTGTAATTAAATGCTGTTAACTTTTATAAGCTTCCCTTGACTCTTTTCAGTCTCTCCTGCCTTCAGGATTCTAGAATACACTAACATTTGGCGTCACTGGGTGGACTCTGAAGCGGGATAGAGCTGGAAGAGAGGGGAAGGCTGCAAACTAACTAGCATCACACTAGGCTGCAGAAAATGAGTTTTTGGCTGGGCCTAAACGAAAGGTGAGACAGTTACCTGTTTAATTCCGTGGTGATTGCGAGTGGTGTGGAGATTGTATATAGTGTTTCTATTCGTCTCTGTTGTATCTTCGGCGCTGCCCGATTAATGTGAATATTACATAGTATTAAGACCTTCTGGGGAGGCACTAGATTTTATCTGGGATAGGACTGGGTCCACATTGTGTTAAATACCTCTGGGTAGGTACCAGACCTGATCTGTTTTACACTGGACTGGGTCCATTCATGTTAGTCTATATGTTTGATGTGTTAAACCTGCGTAGTCTGGTTTAATAAAGTATATTGTGAGGAGTTTTTAAGCCGGAAAGTATATTTTTGTGTGATGTTCTAAGCCGAAACGATTGTGTATGAGATCAGCTTTTAAGGTCAGCATCTATAGAATTTAGAGCTAAGATAAATGAAGATTGTGTTGTTTTGTATTGTCAAGCAGTGTGGTTATTTATCTGCAGATGTTGAGTGTTCCCATTGTTCCCCTTCCCCCAGTCACATGAGGTTAATGCTATACTGCTAAGCTAGTTAGCTAGCCAGTTGGCATTACTAGATGGTGAAATAGTTTGAGTAAAGATACAACCGGTAACTACTGATTAAATACACAGGGATGGTGTAGATCAGTGCTTCTCAAAGTGTGGTCCGTGAGCGCCCCCTAGTGGTCCGTGAGTATATTGGTAACATTTCACATTTGAAATAAATAAATACATTTAAGTTTTTCGCACTCTCGTGGGAATATCTCCGCAATGGAACGAGCTTAAGTTTCACCTTCTATTGCATGATGCCACTTGTTTGTACCATTTCCAGGCGATTTATAATCTGTTCTAGAAAAACGATGTGTTTTGGGATATTTGTGGAGTTAGGTGGTCCGCGAGTGTTTTTGTATTGGTTAAGTGGTCCTTGGTATGAAAGAGTTTGAGAAACACTGGTGTAGATCAGTGTTTTGTCAGTTTAAAAACTCTCCCATCATTGACCGGAGAAATTGGGTCGATGTTGTATTCAATCTGACCGTTAATATTCCAGTGAGACGAAGTACGTACAATGACCAGAGTGATCCCATGTTAATTTTGTCCCAAAACCGGAGCATTCCCTCACCCAAATGATGCCTGGTGTTTTGAGCGGATTTTTGCGTGACTCTTTCTGCACAATATCCCTCAGCAGTGATTTTGATGGCTTCTCAAGAGATGTGTGGATAACTCTCTGTGCTGATGTACCTGCATGGGCGCGGGAAGGGGGGTGCTAAGGGCGCTGCAGCACCCCCTAGCGGCAGGCAGGGGGTGCGGAGCTCCCCTGTCTGAATTATTATTTGACGGTTATTGCTGCTCCCGCTGTGCATAATCTGTGTAATATGTAGCCAATAAATTCCACATTGTTGGTAAAATAATATTTTGGCCTGCCCCGAATGTTTTTTCTGTAGCCCCGGACAATTCTACCTCAATAATATAATACATTAACCGTGCTTTACGTGAACCTCATCATGACACTAGAGAGGACGATAGCACTGTAATTTCCCGTGTTCAGTGAATGCAACAGAGGCAAGACACCAGACCAATCAGAGAGTTGCATGGAAATATGTGTGTGTGTGTGTGTGTGTGTGTGTGTGTGTGGTGTGTGTGTGTGTGTGTGTGTGTGTGTGTGTGTGTGTGTGTGTGTGTGTGTGTGTGTGTGTGTGTGTGTGTGTGTGTGGGGGACCGGTGCCAGCAGCACACTAAAAAAAAGGGGAAGGTGGGGTTGTTCAATTTGCAAATATGCAGTTAATATATGAGACAATGTATTCATGTTTCTCATCGAAACATCAATCATGTAGAACTCTTTTAATCTTGAGGGGTGTACGTTCTATAAGTCTCAATCATGTTAAGAAATAAGAAAAAAGTTATGTTTCTGTAACTCCGCCCACTGAGCACATACGTCAGCAGCTTGTTCTGCAGCTGATTACTCAGCTTCTAATTATTATTTACAACTATTTTATTCACAAATCAAAATGGTCGGACTCAAAACCGTACTTTAATAGTTTCGTAATTGAACCTGAACAATATGGCACTTTAAGGGACAAGATGTAAAGCAGGAAAAACATTGCAAAATGTCTTTATTTTAACAATGTGAAGCTTTTTTATTTATTTAATTTATTTTTTTAAAGGGGGGTGGGGGGAGGGGTTCTACCATCTTTTCTTAAGTAAGCTGGTTCTCTCCCGAGAAGATCTCTCCAAGGTAAAAGTTATTAAATGTCATCAATTGTTCGTCATCGTTACAGGTTATCACAAGACGCATTGTTTGCAAAAAGCAGATCGTTCACATTTGCCATTACAACGAGCAACGTAAATACAGCTGTCAATTTGTAAACATTGTCATTCACTGGTGTTAGCTAGGATAAAGCCATGAACATCATAAGGTGAGTTTATATTGATTGACAGCGTGTTTTTAGTGTGAGTATTTGTAGAGCGTAAGTCCGGCAGTTGCTTGAACCTTGTCCAAAGTTATGCACATTAAACCGAGCTCAGGCTCTGCATGTCTAGGCTACTCTTGTGCCGACTTTTAAGGGCGCTGAGGCAGGTTGTAGGCCTACCTTACGTTAAGCGACCATCTTTACCCATTTAAGGTGTTGATTGTTAAAGATATATTATAATATTGTCTGTGGGACCGCAGTGTTTTCCCAAAAAAATTGTGTATAAAATGTTTTGGTGTAAAAAAAAAATGATGTAAACCATTTTTTTTGCAAAAGGACTCTGCTTTGATCCGCTCTGTGTTTATGTAAATACCGTAAATACAGTGAATCAAAACTGAGATACAATGTTGTGTGTGTCCCGGAAAGCGACACTTGTGATTAGTTGTTCCTCGTCATGCACGAGCCGTGCGCGTTGCTGCGGTCCCACAGTTGAAGGCCGTGGCCTGAAAAAAAGACATTGGAAGCCAGTGCACGTCTCCATTGATGAAACCAATGGAAATTAGCTCGCAACGCTGATGTGTATGGCTCCGTACAAAGTTGTACTTATTTGTGTGTGAATAATGAAATAATTGCAAATATGTTTTTCTGTGATAGGTAATTAGTGTGGAGAAGATCGACCTCAGCCTTTCTTTGAACATTGTTCAAAAGGCTCTGTAGTAAATGGTGAGTATTCAAATGTTTTGTGTGATTTACTTGACTAATTGAAAACTGGTATTAGTCTGACAATTTCTGAATATTTATTCATAACATTTACATACTGCAAACATTGCAGGGATATACACATGTTCTGATTTATTTGGCAACAGTTATTCAGAAAGTGAGAGGCAAAAGCCAAACATTCTGCGATAAAGCCTCCTTCACAAAAGGGATCATGTTTTGTTTGTTGAAATGGCTATAAGGGTGTTTCTTATATGTAGTCTTACATTACAATAATACTTATTTTAAGTCGCTTTGGAAAACAACATCAACTAAATGAAATGTAATGTAGTCTAACCTGGTTGTTCTTCATGGGTGTACTTGATATAAAAAGTAATTCTCACTATATCACAACACCATTCAACAGCACCACAGATTCCATCCTCCAAAAAGAGCTTTTGTGAAAAAACCTCTCAGAGTTTTAACAAAAAGTAAGATCACCTCCATGAAGGAAGGATTTATTGCAGGACTTGTGTATTCGACTGCATTTGATTTTGCTACTGTAGATTAACCTAATAAACTGACAGATGAGTTTGCACATTTAAATATAATATATAGTAACTTGCCTTGCCTTATCTTTCTCTCTACAGTGAATGTGGAAGTGTAAGGGGTGTCCAGTTGCTGTAGCAAGTAGGTCTGCACTACTTACACATTATAAACTTGAGCATCCACATTTTGGACGCACCATTCACTATCCATGTACATATTTGAAATGCCCATGCACATTTAAGACATGGAATGCTTTAATTGTACACCAGAGTAAAGTGCATTCCACACAAGTTAGTCAGACCCAAAAAGAGTTATCTACTTTCAGTTGTCACATATGTAAGTGCAATAATGTATCTAATGAAAGGGAGTACTTTGTTCATATCAACAAACATCTGAGAAAAAGTGAAAATGTCCCTTGCATGTTTGTTGGCTGTAGTTTTCAAACTAGTATTTACGGAACATTTAAGTCCCATAAGAGTCGTCGACACACCTCACACCTTAACTGATTTTGCACCTGGTATTGTGAAAACAACTACATTAGCATCATCATCATCATCATCCTCATCATCATCATCATCATCATCATTACATGATTCTTTTGATCATTGTCAGGATGAGGAAGAGGACATTTATGTGACATCCTTAGATCATAAAAGCCAGGACAACGCACTCCCAAGAATTGTTGAGCAGCAGCTTGCAGCAGCGTTGTTGAAGTTGGAGTATTTACTGCATGTGCAAGGTACAGCAATTGATGAAATTCTGCAAGAACTCTACTACTTACTAAGCTCAGCATCAGTCCCACTTTCCAGAGGTTTAGTAAGTGAGATCCTTGAGCATCATAACGTCCAAGTGGATGACTCTGTAGTGACTGAAATCGCCACAGCAGTTTGTTCATCTAACCCAGTTCATAAAGCAATTGAAAAAGGTGGCCCACTTAGCACTTCGTATCAACGTAAACAATTTTACAAAAATAAATTCAATGTTGTGGAACCAATCACCTACATACTTGATCGTAAAAACAATCACACTTTTCAGTATGTCCCATTGTTAAAATCCTTAAATAAAATATTCAATTGCAAAGTCATTCTTGAAAAGATTATTGAAAGCCATTGTGGACAGCAGGACATAGAAATTGACCCATCGTTTGAATTCAGGTCCCCCGAAAATGGTTTGCATTTTAAAGAGAACAGCTTTTTGAATGCTGAGGAATTACGTATATCACTGCGTCTGTATGTGGATGATTTTGAAACTTGCAATCCCTTAGGCACCTCTCGAAAGAAACATAAGCTTTTTGGTGTTTACTGGGTATTAGGTAACCTTCCACCTGGCTCTCACTCATCTTTATCATCAATTTTTCTTGCATTACTTTGCAAAATTGTTGATGTAAAAACATGGTTTTCACAAAGTATTAGAACCTTTTCTGCAAGATCTTAAAACTCTGGAGGACCATGGTGTGTATGTCCCTTTGTTAGGCAAGTCTCTTAGAGGTACAGTGCAGAGTGTTATTGCAGATAACTTAGGGGCGCACAGTATTGCAGGCTTCACTGAAAGTTTTTCAGGTGACTTCTTCTGTCGGTTTTGCACTGCAAAAAGTTGTGATACTAGATCTGACTGTGTTGCATCTGGTGCTTTTAGCTTGAGAACTAAAGAGGTTTATAAAGCTCATTTAAAAACTGCTCTTGAGAATAATGCGCATTGCTTTGGAGTTAAAAGAGAGTGTGTTCTAACCAAAAATCTGTCTCATTTTCATGTTGTCACTGGTTTTCCCCCGGACATTGCTCATGATTTATTTGAGGGTATTGTCCCGGTCGAGCTGGCCTACTGCTAGTCATTGATGACATCAAATAAGTTATTTACACTAGAGGGCCTGAATAAAGCTATATTGGCTTTTCCCTATAAATGGTCAGACAAAAGAAATAAACCACATGTTGTACCACAGAGTCTTTCGGGTCGTAAAACTATTGGAGGTAATGCCCATGAAAATTGGAGTCTACTGAGGTTTCTCCCATTTTTGATTGGACACCTAGTGCCAGAAAATGAGCCAGCATGGCACATATTGATGGAATTAAAAGATATTGTTGAGCTAGTTGTTGCTCCCGTGCATACAGATGAATCAATATCGTACCTCGAAAGCAAAATAGTTGAGCATAGACAGAGGTACGAAGAGCTATTTCCCGGTGTCAGACTTCTACCCAAGCACCACTATCTCGAGCACTACCCTCAGATGATAAGGTATTTTGGCCCTCTAGTCACACTCTGGACAATGCAATTTGAAGCCAAACATAGTTTCTTCAAGACGATTGTAAAGCATACAAGTTGCTTTAAGAATATACCTCTCACTTTGGCTTCAAAACATCAATTTATGATTGCTTTCCAACTAAACTCACCATCCTATGGTCAATTTAGCCGTGATGTATCAAGTGTATACACAGTAGCAGTTGATGTACTTAAAGAGGAAGTGGTTCAAGCTGTTAGGTCAAAACACCCCAACACGTCTGAAGTGCATCTTGCCAATAATGCATCAAGTGGTGGCATAGCCTACAGCAAAGGTATGATAGTGGCACATGGATCAGTTAGTGGAATGCCAGAGTTTGCTGAAATCATTCATATGTTTGTTAGAAATTAGGAGTTGTCCCTCATTGTGAAAGTGCTGTGTGGGTGGTACAGTGCACACTACAGAGCCTTTGAACTAAGTTTGTCACCGTCAAGAGAGATCAAAGTTGTGGCACTCAGTGAACTCACTGACCCCTATCCTCTAGCTGATTATATGGTTGGATCAAGTCGCATGGTCGCAGGCATATCCTCATAAAAGGTTAGTAGATCTCGACACAGCTGAATTCCATTTTTGTTGGCCTCCGCTGCTTTCCATGCCTCTTTTCTCTTCACTCTCTGGTTGTTTTGGTTGTGCCATATTGAGTGTGGGATTTTTTTTTTAGCACATTGTCCTTAGCATAATATGTTCCACTTTACTGTACTGCATATCACACAAATGTTGGTTAAATCTTCCCTCCTAATGTTAAGACACAACCCAAGTTTGCTTGTTGAACTTAAACGTTTTAGTGGAGGAGTTAATCGGAGAATTGAATAAAGTATTCAAGTTTAAAGTAAAACCAGTATTTATTTTCATACGAAATGTCTGATCAGAAACAGGGAATCATTTAACAATTTGCAACAACCTGTTTAAAATGTCCCCTTTTGTTATCCTCTTCACAGAGAAAGAAGTGGAAGGATGAATTCCCTGGCCATTCTTAAAGTAATCCTGGGTGACAACAGCAGCCAAAGAGTGACTTTTCCAAATGGACTTCCTGGATCTGTAACTGAACTTGTTAGCGAAGTACAAAGACAATGTGGTCTCGAATCAAACTTCAAACTTCAATTTATGGATCCACTATTTGGAAATGACTTTATGAATCTAACTTCAATCGATGAAGTACAGGACAGAGGGACCATCAGAGTCCTCTTCATGGCAGAGCACTTAACTACCAAGTGTTCAAGTAGCCTTTCCACTTCAGCTACCGCTTATGATGCTGGAGAATCCTCATCCTTGACTAGTGAGTGTGTTGACACTGAAGTACTCTCCTCAACAGAATCCCCTGGATCAAGGTCAGTTTGGCCCAGCATCTTCCCTGTTCCTCATTTTTGCTATGATGCAGAATTGAAACTTGAGCGGGGTAATGCAACCTATATCGAAAATGGTACCTCACTTCTTCCAGATTTTAAACTGAGGTCGAACATTCTTCAAGGACTGGTGCAAGAAATAGTTCGGTACAAAGTTTATGTCAGTGATGGGCAGTTTAACATGGTTGGAATGGCCCTCATCTCAAAACATCCCTGCCTGACTGAGAAAGGCTCCCTTACTGGATATGCTGGTTGGAAAGCTAGCTTAAAGAATAAACTGGCCATCTACCGCGCTCAGTTGAGAAAGCTTGGGTGTCCTGAGGTGATGGTTAATTCTGTTACGCAAAGACCAGAGGGCAAATCAAGTCCTGCTTTTGGAATAAAAAAAACAAAGCGTTCAGAAGTAAACTACTGCCCCCCTTTATCCTATTGGAGAATCTGACGTGAGCCTTGAGAGTCTGAGAGTGGAGCTTCTATCAGATGTTAAGAAGAGGAACAACAGGGAGGTGGTTAAGAGGAAAATGGAAAAGACGTTTGCATACAGGAGATATGAAGTGGTACGTGACGCACCCAAGGTACAAGACTTTCATGCAAGATGGCCAGCTCTCTTTGATATAAATAAGGTATGTCAATCAATCAATCAAAGTTTATTTATAAAGCCCCCAATATCACAAGTTCAACGTATGTCTCAGGGGATTTTTAAGTTTGTACAGTATATGAATACCTAACAACCTGATACCATGATAACCTGCCAGGTGACAGACACAAACATCTCCGGGGAAGCTAGATTAGTACAGTACATATTTGGGACGCGAGTATACAGGTACAGAGAAAGAAAATAACGATATAAGGTGTCCACAGACAGTTTGAGCCTATAGCAGCAAGGCTAGGGTAGAAATGAAATGATTTTTATGACTGTGACATTTTGTTTTCTTAGATAAACACGGAGTTTAAGCGCATAACAACCCTGCCCCTCCAATCGAGATTTCTCTCTCAGCTGGATGTGTTTTCTGACAAACTTCAGAAGAGATGAGAGGAGGACCGATGGGCCAGCGTCTGAACGGTATCATTTAAACATGACTCAAATAAGAATGAATTTAATTTGAAATATTATACATCGAGTCAATAGTGTACACATTTCATTGAGCAAAACAGATTCTTTATTTTGTTATTCCCCTTCACTTAGGTTGATGATGTCGATTTAGGGCGGGAATGTCCTCTGAAGGGGCTGTGTGTGCACCTCAATGAGGACCCAGAAGATCTGCTGAGAGAGTTTGTGGTCAGTAGAAGTAATATCTGACCTTTTGATGTTTTTGTTGGGCTTTAAAAAGTATGTGAACATCCCTGTTTTTTGTTTAATAGCCAGACTACACTGAAAAGCTAGAGGGCTTTTAATTTAAAACGGATACAGGAAGTGAACATTTTTGTATCAGGTCAGACAGGAGTATATCAGATAACAAGGAGGCTTAAAAGTACTGAAATCTGACCAAATGTACTTGTTAAACACAGGGATTTAGTAATGGGTATATATATTTATTGATATGTTAGATCTCACTCTGTTCCTTTTGTGACTGTGCACTCTGCAGGCAGAAGATGAAGAAGTCCTTCTGCGGTCCATTGAGGGGATTACAGTGGGACTTCATGTTGTCAAACCCAATTCCACCATGAGAGCAGAGGATATTGGGATTGTCCTGGAAGGCCAACAGGTACTAACCGATGTGGACAACATTGCATTAGCTGCTACCATGCTGTTCGGACTCATGTATGTGATGAACCTGAACTACCCCCCTAAACTGAAGTACACGTTCGAAGTGCTCCAGAATTTTTTTATGGAGCTAGAAGGCAACATGCTCTCCAAGAAAGCCCAATCGTTAAAAAACAAACTATTTGAGTGAGCTGTTGCCATGGACCATTGCTGATTGGTCCACCTGAAGATACAGCAGTATTTCAGCTGCAGCCATGCAGTCCATCTGCCCTCTCATCGACCTCTCCTACTCCAAACTCTGTGTCTGTGGTAGAAGATCTGATCTGTTATTCTGTGTTGTACATTTGTTTTCATTATTGTAAAGCTAAGCTAATGTAACCTGTCTTGAGGACACGCTTTGTTTTGTTGGAGTGAGAAACCCTTTTTGTTTGAACCCCTTTTCCTCCTGTTTTTCTGGTAGGAGTTAGGTAAGAAGCCTGACTTTTTTTCTTTTTTTTCCCGACTGCCCCGGTGAGATGATAGTGAACTGTTCATGAACTTGTCATGAAAAGTTCATGGAATATTAGTGAACCATATTCATGAACAGCTCATAAACAGCTCATAACAAAGTTGATGAACTGTTCATGAAAGTTCCATGAACATTAAATGGCACTAGGGCAGTTCATGAACTACTCATGAAACTCCTGTTCTGGAATGGTTCATGAACAATTCATGGAATATGGTTTTAGGCAGGTTCATGAACAATTCATGAAATGGAGTTTTCAGTGAGTGTAGGGATATTCAGTATTCAACCAAGAACATTTCAAGAATTGTTCATGAATTAACCATGGTTCATGAACTGTTCATAACAACTTCATGAACAGTTCATACCCAGTCACTGAATATAATTCAATGGCTGGCTATGAACTGTTCATGAACTGTTCATGTACATGAACCATTGACTGTGGGTCAATTGGCAACCATAGAAAACAACAATTATGTCAATCACAATGGAACTTTATTCAAATTAACAAACATACATGTATACAGGTGGAGCACTACAATTAATCCTATCACTATTTGAAGCACAGTTCTTGACACTCAGCTGCACACATTTTTTTGTTACGTGTCCCAAAAGCTTGGGTACCACAGCAACAATAAATGATTTATGTAGAAAACAGAAAAGTGCAGCAGCAATAATTATACACAGGATCCGGTTGATCGTCTGGATTGCTTCTTATTCAAAGTACACAGTTACATTCAAATAGCTGTACTTTACAAACATCACATTTCTCCATTTAAGTTATCCGTCTGTCACAGTCCATTACTGTATCTCAAGGAGAAATTCAACATAGTCAATATAAACACATAACGCTATCAAATAATACTTTCTATCAATATATCTATCTTTACCAAATATAACATATTATGGAGATCACAAAAATACACTGTCAATGTTAATAAACAAAAAACAAGGCAATGTGCCTGCAAGACTTCACTCAGGTACACAAAACATATTACCCGTGCGCAGCAGCTAACCTGCCTGCGAGCCTTCGCTCAGGTCACATTTACCCAGGCGCGGCTGAAGCCCGCGAAAATGGCATCTATTATTGCCGACAGTTTAGTATTTTTAAAATACCGTTACTATGTCAAACATGCTCAAAACTTTCTGACACACTCTCCTAAACATCTCCAACATCATATCTAATTCACACAAGTTAACATCGATCATTTTCATCATGTACTGACCTGTAGAAAACAGAAAAGTGCAGCAGCAATAATTATACACAGGATCCGGTTGATCGTCTGGATTGCTTCTGACTGGAGGGGCGGAAGTGTCCCCCCTAAGATAACCCAGATGTCACCGCTCACCTGCCAAAGGTTCCACCTTGGCGCTACTTACTCGTACTGCTTCTCAAACGGTACAGATAAACCATAAAATGATATGAATGTCACCAAAATAAATACAGATAATGTTCAGTTTCAAATGCACTATTTTTTGTTTTAAGATTAAAAGTTTTAAAAAATAAAGAAATGTTCAAATAGTAGATGAATATTCAAGAGGTCTTTAAAATCATCACACTGATCATCAAAAGTTCATAAAATGCTCATGAATATTCAAAAATATTCTGAACTTGCCACAATCATCCAAAATTCATGAAATGCTCATAGTCATGAAAAGTTCATGTAATGCTCATGCAAACTTTTTGGGGTTTTAATTATAATTTTGTGATTGGCTGGATCATGAAAAGTTCATAAATTGCTCATAAAAGTCTGTCATGAGCAAAACAGGAACTTTATATGAATGAACAATGTTCATAAAAATTTCATGAACTGCTCTTTAAAATGGTTCATGAGCATTTTAAGAATTTTGGTTCATGAACATGACAAGTGAACATATAATGAGTTGTTCATGAATGTTTCATGAGTGCTCATGAACAGCTCATAAAGTCATGAACTCCATCTCGCAGGGGACTGAGCATATTAAAAGCCTAAAATGAACATAAAAAAGTCATGTTGGTTAAACATAGGGTAAATGAATATACCTAATATTAAAGGAACTATTCGAATGAACATAACAATTTCATGTTTCTTTGACATAACATAGTTGTGTGTCTTTAACATAATGGAATAGTTTTGGGTACACATGATTTAATATGTGCAACCGATGTCCATGTTTTTTATTATGTAAGTCCAACAGACTTTTTACAGTGAAGCTTTCATAAATAAATCATGTTGCTTTAACAGGTACAAGTTACATATACTGAGCATATTAAAAGCCTAAAATGAACATAAAAAAGTCATGTTGGTTAAACATAGGGTAAATGAATATACCTAATATTAAAGGAACTATTCGAATGAACATAACAATTTCATGTTTCTTTGACATAAAATAGTTGTGTGTCTTTAACATAATGGAATAGTTGTAAGTACACATATTTGAATATGTGCAACCGATGTCCATATTAAAATCATGTGAATCCAACAGCCTTTTTTTTCAGTGCAGGGACCGTGTTGTTAGCATCTGGTTAGCTAGCTGCACTAACGGACACAAGGAGCTGTTTGTTCCACAACAAGCTGGAGGAGAGCTCTCCTCTCATACTGAGAGGCTCAGGTGAGCTAAAAGACTCTCTGAGTGTTTAGATAGTTGTTACAGCCGCTGCTACCTTGTGAGCTTAAGTCTGTTGGTGTATGTAAATGAGCTGTGCTAAGTTCCTCTGCTGTCATTGGCCGTCCGGACCGCTCAACATCCGCGGGGATTGGACAGACGTCGCCCAACCCCTGCTCGCTTCTGTCACGTCATCCGGGGGGAGGAGTATAAAGGCTGAGCACGGACAACAGTCGAGAGGCTCTGTATTTTGTGTCAGATGCCTCAACCCTATCCTTGTGATAAGCCTTCCTTCTGTGAATTCTGAGAGTATTTAGCCGTGTGTCTTTTGTATTAGCTCCACTGATTAGCAGTGTCTGTAGTAGGGTTCTAGGCGAGCACACTGAGTAGCAGTGTGTCGTCGGGTTCTGTGTTAGCGTAGGGATTTTGTGTGTGTGTATACTGCTTAGATCCAGGTTGGTTAGCACCTGTCGACCAGCATTCCTGTGTGTTTATACTGCTTAGATCCAGGTTGATTAGCACCTGTAGACCAGCGTTCCTGTGAGTGGATATTGCGTAGAGCCAGGTGATTAGCACCTGTAGACCCGCACCAGCTGTGTGTTTCCACAGTCCCGTTTTGTTTATTGTTTGTTTCCACTTTAGTAGTGAGATTTGTTTTTCTTTGTGTAGCGGGGCAACTCTCTTTTGGAGACCCTTTGTGTTGTGTTATAGTGACAGATTGACCCGTGTTGTGGGGCCAATCTGTGTGACCATCATTTTACTTAGTTTCAGTAACAATAAAACCACTGGTAACGAATATACCAAATCCAATCTGGTCGTGTCGTTTCCCGTTTGTACCCTAGCCAAGTGGGAACGTAACAATAGTTAACTTTAGTCTAAGTTATCTCAGTGGGTCTCAAACGGTTTGGTCACAAATTATTCAAAAGATTATTTCCGCGGCACACTTTCATATGATCATTATCGTTATAAAAAAAATAAGAGAATAAAGGAAAAACAGTTATGAAATACTATATGGCAGTAAAACAAGAATACAGTTTGAAAAGGGAGTGATTTGTAAAATATCCATAAAGAAAAAGAACATCTGCTTACAGTTGTGTTTCATCTGGGTGTTGAGAGATGTATCTAGATCTCTTAATGTTGCTCTCAAAGTGCACCAGATTGTTGCTTTCAACTTATTCAAAAAAAATCTTCCCGGGGGACCATCTAGAGGAGGTGAGGTCTGCTCCCGTGACTCGTAAAAAAATAGCACTTTACCCCTGCCTATATGCCGTGAGCTGATTATCGAGCCTTCATTGTAACAGTCGCGGGTGTACTGTGTAATTGCGTGTGGGGAGTGCTTTTGTGCGTGCTCTATAGTGCCCATAATAGTGTTCACTGGAGTCCAGCACCTCAGCACCCCCACTCAAAATACCTTCCCACGCCTCTGTGTACCTGTCACCCTCCCAACACTCTGCTGGTGCCAAGATGAACATTCTGCCCGGTCTTTTGTCTCTTCCTCTATTGCCTGTACCTGATCATCTGAAAATTCTGACAGATGTTGGTACCAAGGCTTTGGTTTGAAAGGGTCTGCAAAAGCCTTGAAAGTGCTAAGACCAACAGGCAGTTCTCCTGAGGCAGACAGCATTTCAAAGAACTGTTGTTTATTTTCTTCATTCGCCATTGGAATGACCCTGCAGTTTGTTCCTGTGTCCCTTTGTTTGGCTTTGTCCCATATAAGTCTATATTGATGACCATGTCTGCCTCAACTTTTTTCGTGCAGACTTTATTCCAGGCACAGGCGATGCTGGTTGGTGCCACACTTGTATATCCAAGGCGAACTGATGCCTCCAACTTAAAAAGCAGGGCTCCGACATGGGAACAACTTTCTCCGAGTCTAGAGTAAAAGATATATATTTTAAATAAATACTTTTTCACCAAATAACAAAAGCATTTATTTCCTTCTGAAGGATTACATAGGAGGCATTGTGACAGTGTTATGCAGTCAGCTTACCCTGCCATGCAATCACAGTGAGCAGCTGTGACCTCTCCAGTCTTGTTAATAACAACCCAGGAGTTGTGGGGTTTGTCTGTAACTCTCCATGATGGCTTTACATGGGTATTGAAGACTGTTGTGTCAGCACAGGGTTTGTGGTGAAGAACCACAGCCACCCAGCCACTGGTAAAAAATATATGTGCTTCCAGAGACCTGAAGTTCTTCATTGAACTTGCTGTGTAAATCCCTAGAGGACAAGTCAGCAGACACAAATCTCTAAACCTGCTCCGTCACATCTAAAAACATTTAAAAACCATTAGTAGTTCAAACATGGGCAATCCAGAAAGTTACTGAACTGAACTGAATTTTCCTATTGTGATGAACTGTATATGTTTTTAAATATTGTCGTACTGTGTGTGTGGTATATTTACTGAGATTATAAAGATAGGCTATAACATAAAATCGTCACCCTACCTATAACTAGATGCTATCATTAATTAGCTTGTTAAACCCCCTATTTAACACGTTATTGTATAAAACATATGTATAGTTTACACAGTAACGTAAATTGGACAGACAAAATGGATACATAATGTGTCTTGATGATGTCCTATACAAACTACCTGGAGATTCAATGAGGTAGTTATAGATGTCAGGATATGAC